TTATCATGTTCTCAGTAGTATTTAAATTTGATCAAAATGATCAATTTTCAAATTCTACAAAGGATTTCTCTGAAGGAAAAACTACTGAGCAAAATTAAGAAAATGAAGAGAACAGCCTGGTGGGTTTTGTTTGGGGTTTTTTTTGTGTTCAAAAGCTGTGTTTCAGTTGCTATGCTGTTACCTTAAGAGTCTGTGGAAGACAAAAAAACAGCTTTGTCTTCAATTCAGTGCTCATTACTAACAACCTGGTCCTTGTTGGCAGCAGAGTTCCTGCTCATCTCACACCTAAATGAATGGGAAGAAAGGAGCAAAAGCTTCTCCTACTTTCCCTCCCTTTAATTTCCCACATGAACACCAGGGTGGGCTGGATCAGGCGGATAATCATGTCTGAAGGGTGTGATCATCTTCTGGGATTATGATAAAACCACACACACACACATTCACCTCCTGATGCCAGGGACAATAAAACAACCCAGTGAACAGGCCACAGTGATGGGATGTGGTGGAGAACCCAACCCCCACCTCCGGACATGCTGGCATTCCCCGTCTCCATCTCCACGGCAACGATGAGGGGCCATTATGGGACAGTTGAGCCCAGGAGTGCGTGATGAAGTGGGTTTGAGGGAGCGTTTGTACGAGCAGTACACACTGACGTGACTGACGTGCTCAGAGATGGAGAGGCTGAGGAGAACGTTTCACTTGACCTGTGTTTTGTGTGTTAATATGACGGTCGATAGAAGGAGACGGAAGGTGTGACTCAGTGCTGAGTGAGCAAGCTGCTGTAAAAGATACATCAGAAAGTCTTCACTGTGTGCTGTAGTCCTCATCTAACACTGCAGGGAGTTTCTTTTCCCATTAATGGCTGTCATATCTCTGTGCACTCTCAGGGGTTTTCTTTTCCCATTAATGGCTGTCATATATATATATATATATATTTTTTTTTTTAATTTATCTCTGTTAGCAAACCTCAGATGTGAATCGATATGAGCAGAGATGCTGTGGTCAGCTGAAATGCTTTTAAAGTGGTCAAATATCGACAGATTTTACGATTTGATAATGAAGATTTTCTGTTTCCACAACAACGACCTTTAGAGATAAAGGTATCATTTTTTTTATCAATTATTATTATTATACATTTTTTATAATGTGTAAAAACATAAAAAATGAATGATTATTTATACAAATATAATAATAATAATAATAATATGTTTCCTGGAAGGCAGGTTTTTATTTACACATCAAGACGTCTAAAGATTCTTTTTTTATCAACGGTCAATCAGGGAAGTGGTATAATCTGTATGATCAGATTAGTTTATTGTTTCGTGAAATAAATGTATTCTGAGATGATTTCAGAGATGAAAAAGTCGTTAAAAAAGTGAAAAAGAAAACTTTCAAACAACTGACTCGATCATTTACAATTATATAACTCCTTTGTCCTTTGAACCGATTACTTCCAGTTTCTTTATCGTCCGTGTACTGGAAGCTTCTTTGTTACATAACATGAACCGAGCGTTCTAGGACACGTACCGTATCTGTGCCATGAAACAAAGCCCGTCTGTGTGTGGATGTACTGTACGGTGTGACTGAAAACGAAACAGAAACTGTCTTAACACTTGTTCTGTCTTCTCTCCTCTTCAGACAACATCCCTCCAGACCTTCAGGACCCTTTCTACACCGACCAGTACGAGCAGGAACACATCAAACCCCCCATCATTCACCTTCTGCTGTCTGGAGAGCTCTACTGCCGGGTGTGTGGCCTCATCCTGCACGCTGAGCAGGCCGCCTCGCTCCAGAGCCACCAGTCTGTCCTCCAGGCCTTGTCCAGGAAAGGCATTTATGTCCTTGAGAGTGACAACACGCAGGTTTCTGACGTGGACCTCAGCTCAGCTCCTATAAAGATGGTGAGTGTTTAAATCTCTGCTCTGAACATCAAGTTAAATGCAAAAAATGCGTGTAGAGTATAACATGAGACAGCAGAATGTTAATGAATGAAGAACAGAACCGCTGGTGCAGGAAACTCTACAGTATTATCAGATTTATTTGAGCATTCGGACGTATTGGGTTTTTTTTTTTTAACCTCCATAATGACCATTTGGAACTATTTGGAATAAGACAATTATACAAAAAAAATATATAACCATTTTGTAGAGCTATAGCCTAAATCATTGGTTCTCAAAGTTGGGGGGAGCCCCCTACAGGGTCCATGGAGCTACTGCAGGGGGACAAGAAATGCAAATTAATATTTAATATTTTCTTTTTCATATCCCACAGAGGGAAGATTGCACTGATTTGTTACATGGAAATACTTCTGTAGGAATTAAAGTGTTTTAAACAACATCCAGTGGATATTTGATGTTTATAGCTGTAAATCTGTGAACATGGCAGGAATAGAAATATCTACAAAGAGGCGGTGCCACAGTAAAAGCAAAAGTCCAAAAAAGACTAGAAAAAACAAAAAAGAAAACCTTAAAGTTTGTATATGTTTGTACTGAGTGGCTGCTGTCACGTTGCTTCACCAGAGCTCCCACGTCCACCTCATCGATGCCCTCATGATGGCTTACATGGTGGAGATGATCAGCATAGAGAAGGTGGTCTCCAGTGTCAAGCGCTTTTCAAACCTCAGTGCCTCCAAGGAGCTGCCTTTGGACCTGGAAGACGCCATGGTCTTTTGGATCAACAAGGTGAATGTTAGAACATCTGTGTACGAAATTCTGCAAATGTTTTTATTCTTTGTTTTACTTTAACTTTAATTTCACTTCTTCAGGTGAACATGAAGATGAAGGAGATGACAGAAAAAGAGCTGAAGATGAAGCAGCACCTGCTGGAACCATCTGGTCACCAGAAGGTAAGTCAGGTCATTTGTGGGTTTTTTAAGTAAAAAAATGGAATGATTTGGATTGGATTTTTTTATAATTCAAATGTTATAATAAAGCTAAACTAATTAGCTTCACAGCTATTATAATAAATATTTTAATCTATTCAATCTTTTGCCAACATGATTAGCAACATCATGTACTGTCTTGTGTGCGAACATCATTTAATGCATCCTGTTTGACCTTTGACTTTGCAGCTAACAAATTAAGTTTAGGCGCATTACTGCCACCTACTGGCTAACTAAATTGAAACGAATGCCTTACAGTCTTTGTTTTATAATATTTAATTAATTTGATGTAAAATGGAGGTATAACATGTCACTGCCAGTCAATGAGGAGCAGCTTCACCAACCGTGTTTGGTGACTTTTCCTTCTTTTTTTTTTCCTGTTCACACCTAATAAGTCAGTACTGTCCACTCAACGGGGGTCTCCTCTACTCACCCCTCCCCTCAGTCAGCCTTTCAGGTGAACAGCAGTTGAGCTAACATGCTAGAACAGATGTATCTATTTAAAAATACTTTGTTGATAAAAACGTCTTTTTTTGTCTTTCCTGAATTATATCTGTTGTAAAAAAAAAATCATTTCTGTCCCTAAATCACAATAACAAAGAGAAATTGAATCATTTTTTGGATGTTTTTTTGTGTGGGGTACCCACCAGTCCATAATCGACAGTGTCTACTGTTAATCTGTTTCTCTGATCTCTGTCGTTTCTGTGTTAAACTCGAAACATTCCTGAGCCTTTGTGTCTGACATTTTCCACCTGTCTTCAAATCAGATCCGTCTCCATGGTTACGGAGGATAATCTGATTCCTTGTCACAGTATCTGACCCATGACTTGTCTGTTGTTCTCCCTGTTTGTGTCCCCCCTCCCCCCTCCTCCCCCAACGCCTTTCCTTTCTTTAGTCTCCCTCCAAATGGTACTGGAAGCTTGTACCTGTAAGTTCTACTGCTAGTGATCTCGTCTGCCAGTGTATGACATGTGTGTGTATGTGTATGTGCATGTGTGTGTGTGTGTGTGTGTGCTGGTCAGAATGGTGAACAGAAGCCACTGATAAAACCTTATTGGACAGAAAGTTTTCAAACGTCCAACAGGCTGTGAAGTCACACATTTTTGTTCATGAATAAAAGAATGTGTAAATTGAAGATGGAATGGTGCCACTTGGTGGCAAATAAGGAAACAGCAACACCTTAACGTCTACTCTGGATGAAGCCTGTCTGCCACTCCTTTACTTCAGTTCTACATTGTTTCTTCATCAGTGGTTTTCCTGCTTTAAAACATCCGATCACCTCAGTTCAACGGTTCCACCTTCAGCTAAACACGCGTAGCACGAGTGCGTAACTCCGCCCTTGGACTACTCACCTAGTCACCCAGCTAATTCCATATTTATCAATGTCTGTGTAGGTTCTCAGTCATCCAGGTCATTTAATCCAAATATAGTTATAATATACTGGACAAAGTAGGTTTTTGTTTGTTTTGTTTTTTTAAGTTGTTTACGCTCTCATCCCAGAGGCTTCTTCAGTTCTGAACTGAACTTAAGGTATATGTCTATTGGATATTAAGATTTTGAACTAGCAGCTGAACTGTATCTGATGAAGATAGAAAGTTCTCTTGTGTTACAACCAACATCGAAGGACTAACAGTCCAAAAGGACCTGTCTAGAGGACGTCATTACAAAAGAATGATTATACAAATAGGGAAAAACATGAGAAATAGAAAATGAACAATGAGTAGTCAGTGGAGGGTGGAGGCCACGCAGCTCCACACACCACAAATAAACACAAATGAAGGCAGTCGTTTTTTACTACTAAAATTAAATGAGACATTTGGTGTTTGAGTGTGACAGTGAGTTGTAACTTAATGTCCAGTGTTTTGTGGTTTGTTTGTTTTTTTTTTGGACATTTTACATTGACCTGGACTCTCTCCTGCTGCGTAGGTGCGATACCGCAGAGATCACCTGTCAGGTCGCGCTCTTCAACACTTCCCCCTGCTGGACGACTTGTTGAAGGACGTGTGCGATGGCATGGCTCTGCTGGCTCTGATTCACTTCTACTGTCCAGACCTAATCAGACTGGAAGGTAAGGACGCTGCCTGAGGGACATGACGCTCTAAGACACCGTGTCGTCAGCAGCTCTGACATCCGTCTGACTTCTCGTCTTTCGCAGATATCTGTCTAAAGGAGGTCCCTTCCATAGCTGACAGCCTGTACAACATCGAGTTACTCAGGGAGTTCTCTAACAGTTACCTGAACAGATGTTTCTGCCTGAAGCCTGAGGACGTGCTGTATTCTCCACCAGTCCTGAAGGTAGAGCAGAAAATATATGACACTCACAAACAGCAGGGGGCGTCTTTTCAATGTTGTCTCACTGACTCTGTCTGTCTTTCAGAATAACGTGATGGTCTTCATTGCTGAACTGTTTTGGTGGTTTGAGAGTGTGAAGCCAGGCTTCGTGCAGCCCAGAGGCCTCCAGGAAATTAGAGATGGTGAAGTCTTCACTCTCCGTGTGATTTCCATTGATTTGGATTTGGATTATACTGATCTGTTTGTTAAACAAAAGTTTCCATGTGCATTTGTAGCGAGGTTGCTGCTGAAGCCCAAAGGTGCTCAATCCCAAGTATCCAGCTCTAACGTCACAAAAAGTGCTTTCATGTCATCGTCGAACTCGGCTGACGTCTTGACTGAACCCACAGGTCCTGACCTCAGGTACTGTTCACACGAACTGAAAATGTTTTTTTTCATTGTTGTTTATGTCAAATGTGACTTTTTTTCACATCACGTTCCTAAAGAAATGCTTCTCGTAAATTAGTGGTTTTCAAAGTGTGGGGCGTGTACTGGGGGGGGGGAATGGAGACATGACAAACAGGAGGACATTTTTTATTTTCCAGAAAAAAGTCACACCTTTTCTGGGGAGATAAACAGGACAAACAGGAGGACATTTTTTTTCCAGAAAAAAGTCACACCTTTTCTCATTCTCTGGTTGGGGTTGCGATTAATACACGACTTGTATATTAAAATATATCATTTCACTTGTTCACACGGACAGCCACTAGAGGGCACTCTTGGCTTGTGTACCAGTATCTGCTACTCCTGTATCACTGGAAATTTACATGTTCGTAATTTTCACACTGACAGCCGCTAGAGGGCAGTGGTGCACCCTATACTCCGGAGGGACTTATAGACCGGAAAATACAGTATTTGATAGTAAATTTAAATTCTAGTTTGTCAAGATTTTTGGGGTAATTTTGGGGCAGGTTTGAGAACCACTGTGGTGAATGAAAGGGTCATTTGTTAGTTTCAGATGAAGTGAAATTTAAAGAAGCCACTAAATGTCACGCACTGAATTTTTTTTCTTTCAGCATCAAATCAGGCTCGCTGAGCCCGTCTCAGTCTTCGGTGCCCTTCAGACAGAGGCAACAAAAAACGCTGGAGGAAAATTTAGGTAAATGAAAACATGAACTTCTCTCACACATTTTTTATGGTCTAACATCATCAAAAGAGTTTTGTTGACATATCCCTTCTTTTTTTTCCTTTTGTGCAGATCCTAGAAACAGGTCGTACTCCGTGACACGTGGGGACGGTCAGCACCTGGGCTCAGTAGGGGTGTGGCCAGAGAGGAGGCCGAGGTGGGCGGTGTGATACAGCGAGCTCTATTTATATTTTTCTATATTGTTGTTCTTGGGTCCAAGTCTTCATTCCTGTCTCTGTTTCAGGCCTTTGTCCCAGCCGGTGCCGTACGCCTTACATTATCCAGTAGAGGACGACGTCGACAGTTTAAGCCTGGCTCGCTCCATCAGTAAGGACAGCCTGTCCTCAAACATCTTGAGCATGACCCCCAAACACATGCTGGGGTCAGGTGCCCATCGCTCCCACCACAGACTCAGTGGTCAGAGTCTTCTCAGTCACATGCGCATCGAGGACGAAGAGGAGGAAATAGAGGAGGAGGAGCTCGTGGCCGTCATACATCCTCACGAACTTTCACAACAACGACTGTCACACCAAGCTTTCACACCATCACGTCAGGTCAACAGCTGCTACACGGAGCCCCTGATGCCTGCCGTTCTGAAGCCAGCCAAAGAGAAGAGTATTAGCCTGAACAAGCAGGAGGAAAGTGGTGAGAGTCCACTCAGAACGCTAAGAGCTGCTCGGAGAGCGGTCAGTAACGCCACGTCCCCCTCAGAGAACAAACCTCCCATCGCTGACTCGAGTAGAAACACCTTCACGCCAATTACTGCTGCAGAACCGTTGAGTGGCCCCCTCAGACTGCCCCCTGAGAGAAGGGCAGTTATTTCACCATCTGAAGAAAAACAACCCCAAGGTTTCTTCCTTCATTTGTCGGCCGAGTCAGACTACAAAAGCCCTTACTCCTCTACCTTGGAGGTAGGGTACGACTCTGACTCAGACATTGCCGACCTTGAAGAAGATGAAGAGGAAGATGATGAGCTGGGGATAACCAGAGAAGTCAAAAAGATGGAAAAGGAAAAGGGCTCAGGAGCGATAAAGGGTTTTGAATCAGGAGAAGGTGAATCAGCGAAGCTGAGAGAAGACTCCAAGGTGACGGAGAGAGATGACAAGGAGGATGGCAGTGGATGTTCAAGTCCGTGTCTCAGTACCATATCCTGGGCAAGCAGCTGCAGCGCTTCAGGCAGCGTGGGTGTGAGGATGACCAGCTTTGCGGAGAGAAAGCTTCTAAAACTGGGTCTCTGTGAGGGAGTTTCCAGCACCAGCAGTTCCCAGAAGACCACACCAGACGGTTCAGAGTTCACCTCTGGCCTTCCTTGGCATCTCAAGGTCGACAGTTGTTTAGGAAAGGACTCGAACGTGGAGGAGAAACTCCAGATAATGCCTTCGGAGCTGCTGCAACTTCACATGCAGCTGGAAGAACAAAGACGTGCAATAGAACATCAAAAGAAGAAGATGGAGACCCTGTCGGCGTGTCAGAGACTGAAGCTGGGGAAAGCTGCCTTCTTGAACATCGTGAAGAAGGGCGCAGGAAAAAGTGACACTCTTCCTCTGCCGCTGAGACAGCCCTCAAAACTCACCACGGCCAGAGTGAGGAGTCAGCTGTGCCGGGACGACTCCTGTCTGGATACGCTGAAGGCTGAGGTGAGGACAAGTCAACCAGAGAGTAGACAACTACACAAAGACACAGGGAACGCCCTGACTCAAGGTTCATCCGAGAGCGGCTTGAACGAATGTTCTCGATCGATCGATCTCCTCAACGAAGCCATCAGCTCAATCCAGGAGCAGATGCTGCAACTGTCCGCGCAGCAAAACCTGCTGATGAAGAAAAACGTGGCCTCACCAACAGAATGTGGACAATCTGGGCCTAGCACAACCCCCACCGAGACACAAACGACTCCCCCTACCTCAGACCCCAGATCCTTTTCCGTCCACTTCGACATCTGTGACAACAGCTCTTTTCCCGTGGGCCGTCCTCCCAGGCTCAGCTCCAGCCTCCGTGGCAAAGCTACGAACAGAAAACCAAACAAAGAGAAGAGCCAGCAGGGCGTGAACAGCAACTCTAGTTTACAGACGTCAGAAAGTACGCCCTCCTCCAGTGAGAGCATTAGTGGAGACCAGGAAACGGGCTCTGGTGGGGAGAGCTCCAGGTCCGAGGGAGGGATCCAGAGGAACTCCACCTTCAGAGTCACTGAGGAACAGAGTGACATCTCCAGGAATCTTCCACAGGCTGCAGGATCAAAAGACAACGAGGGTGACGACTCAAGAAAAGAGGCTTTGGGTGGGGACGAGAGTTCCAGGATCAAAGGTCAACTGATTGAAGTGGATCTGTCAGAGCTTAAGGAATCCAGGGAGAACGGTGGTCCAGACTCCACAGCAGAGGGGGAGCAGAAGAATTCGCTGGGATTCTTTTTTAAGGTAAATGATGAAAACGTGTTCTGGAGAAACACCAACTTCTTCTTCTTCTTTTTCTTTCGGCTTTGTCCCTTTTTTTTCAGGAGTTGCTACAGCAGATCATTGATTTCCATCTGTCCCTGTTCTCTGCTTCTCCTACTCTGACTCCAACTATCTGCATGTCCTCCCTCACTGCATCCATATATCTCCTCTTTGGTCTTCCTCTCTTTCTCCTACCTGGTAGCTCCATCTCTAACATTCTTCTACCAATGTATCCACTGTCCCTCCTCTGCACATGTCCAAACCATCTCAATCTGGCTTCTCTAGCTTTTTCTCCAAACCTTCCTGTCTGTGTTGTCCCTCTAATGACCTCATTCCTGACCCTGTCCATTCTTGTCACTCCTAAAGAGAATCTTAGCATCTTTAACTCTGCCACCTCCAGCTCCTCCTCCTGTCTTCTGCCTATTGCTACTGTCTCTAAACCATACATCATGGCTGGTCTCACCACTGTCCTGTAAACCTTTCCCTTCACCTTAGCTGACACTCTTCTGTCACAGATCACTCCTGACACTTTTCTCCAGCT